TCCACACATATGCATGCTGTGGATGGCATGCAGTTTTTTGGAGACAGTCACAGGAAGTGGACATCAGAAGTGGAAATGATAAGTCTGGGGACAGAATGGATCTTGAAAAGTCTGTCATGTCCCCCTGCTCCTCAGTGACCTGCTTTCTACAACTACCTCCTCATTGCCCATTCAGCTATGAACTCCTCAATCAATGAACCCAACAATGAAGTTAACACCTCAATGATCCACCCATCTGTCAATTGAGACATCATTTTAGGAACAAGACTTCAACATGTTGAGCCCTTGGGGAAATATATTAATCACTTCTTTTGTTACTATAGCCAAATAGCTGATGAGAAGCTATTAGAGGAGGAAGGGTCTATTTGGGTTTGCGATTTGAAGATGGTATTGGTGGCAGGGAACTGAGTAACTAGTAAAATTATATTTATGTCAGGAAGCAAAAATCAGAGAGGAAATAGGGCCAGACTAGAACTTCAAGGCCCAAGCCCAGTAGACCACTCCCCTCAGTGAAGCTCTGTCAACTAAAGGTGCTAGAACTTTCCAAAATGGCACCACCAGCTGGCGACCAACTGTTCAAACCCACGAACCTCTGGAGGACATTTCACACTCAAATCGCAATATGGAGACACTGTTATACCCACAAAGCAACAGTCTATAAAACTGTATTATTCCCTTAAATATTAAGAGGGAAGCTCTCACGTAAAGTGATCTTAGCAAAAGAATATAAAGTACACTTAAAAATTTTTAACTCACTCATGTCTGGTACTTATCCCCCCAACCACTTCTGATCCCCACTGCTTCCTGTCTTCTCATTAGCCATCTCTGATATCTAAATGTATATGAAACAACAGAGACGCTAAAGTATATAATTTAAGGGGCACAAGAGGTAGACCAAAATACAAGTGGATTACAGAAACAAAGGGACAAAGAAGTAGCTATTGGCCATGATTTGGACATCCCTTTGGCAGACCTTCTCTCTTCCAGGTATGTCAATCAATGACCAAGAGTAAACAGTCCAAAGAACTTAGCTTAATGTCGCGTAATGATCACGTTGAGCTTATTGGCATCTTGACGGGAGCTTTTATGCTATTACAGCATTTCAGTTTCCAAGAAAAACTCCATGCCACCAGATCAGCCACAGCCGGCCATTCATTGCTGATTTTCACAGTTTATATTAACAGCCTTCTCTGTGGAAATCTTTCTTAACAGTGCTTATCTGTGGTGCCGTTTGGAAAACCCAAACCACACCATATTCTCTACAAAGACAGGCCATTTGCCCTCAGTGGTGGGCTTCTAGCCTGAAGTACTGCTGCTTGACCACCTCCTGCACGTGGGGTGTACAGGGAGTGTTCAGGTTGGGTGGGTGTTTGGAGATCTCCCGGGCTCTTCTGGGATAGAGCTCTCCTGTGGTCCTGAGCCTTTGCCTCTGCTTTTGAGCCCCGTCATGGTGGCTGTGCAGCCAACAAGGTAACCCCTTCTTCCAGAGCATGTCCACATGCCCAAGCATCTACCTGGCACACCCTCCTGGGAGGTCTTGGCCAGCACCCTGACAACCCAAAGGCAAAGCTAAAGTCCTGTTCTAGGTATGTGTGGACAAGTCAGAGGATATTCCCAGAGAAGAGGTGACATCACGGAGCCCTGACCGCTATAGCAGGTACAGGGTATAGAGTACCTTGCCAGAAAGAAGTCAGGTCTTAATTGTACTGTCAAGCTAATTTTCAAGGGTGTGGCAGAGCCAAGCAAAGGGTAGCCCAGATAAAGGACACAACTTTACATTTGCCCGGGTACGATAAGTGAGCCATATGCAGGAAACTAGCCCGAGTCATCTTGGAGAATGCACCCCAGAAGGGAGGAGAGGAGAGTGGAAAGGTAGAGCCATAATCTAGAGTTCTTCCTCCAGGTGAAGGTGTTGGGTGGATCCCGGCCAGCTGACCTATGGAGACCATTCAGAATCGGAAGTTAGAGGTTCAGCTCTCAAGTCTTCCCTTTCGCTGGCTAAACGCAAGAGTACAGAACATGGACCTGGAGTCAGGGCTTAGGCTTGAGTCTTGTCCTGTGTACTGCTAATTGGTTTGCTTTAAAATGTAGATGGTATAAGGACTGTATTCAGGGGTGGTTCGATCTCTCTGACCTTGGACTTCATTGCAACTGGGCTATATACACCCCTCGTTATAGGCAGATGAGGGGAGGCAGGCATGAGTTACCAGGACTGGGGCAAGACTAATAAAATTTGCCCCCAGGAGAAGAAAAACAGCTCTTTTTTTTTTTTTTTTTTTTTTTTTTTTTTTTTTTTT